ATGCTGCATCTCTGTATTTCCCAGTTTTTTAAACTGTGTGAGCCCTCCACCATCCTCCAAAACTTTGATCACCTGTTTTATCACGTTTTTTTTAACCACCTCCGCATTCTCTTCCAGATCTCCCATGTTCACTGAATGCTTTTCAAAAATTAATTCACAAAGGCATTACTACTCTCCTCTGTCAGCCTGTTCCTTAAGGTCTACTCCCACCAGAATATCTGCAGGAAATTACAATCTAAAAATAGCTATGCAGAAAATTGTAAGGATCTTCAAAGTACTTTAAAATTGATTTGATGTTTTATTTGTCTTTCTCACCCTTTGGGCTAGAGTGGTAGATGTCACCACCATGCTTTTTAATCTCTTTATTAAACACTGTAGAGTCTCTACATAGAGCTGGGCTTGCAAATGGCCCATAAATTTTATCCTGTGCCATGGATCAGAGAGATGGAGCACATGAGTTATCTCCACTATACACACAGCTGAGAATGCAAAGAATCATAGAATCCTAGGGGTTGGAAGAGACCTTGAAAGATCACCTAGTCCAACCCCCCCTGCCAGAGCAGGGTCACCTAGAGTACATCACATAGGAATGCATCCAGGCGGGTTTTAAATATCTCCAGTGAAGGAGACTCCACAACCTCCCTGGGCAGCCTGTTCCAGTGCTCTGTCACTCTCACAGTAGAAAAAAAATATTTGGATATTTACCTTGAACCTCCTATGCTCCAATTTGCACCCATTACCCCTTGTCCTATCACTGGTCATCACTGAGAAAAGCCTAACTCCATCTTCCTGACACTCAACCCTTACATATTTGTAAACATTTATGAGGTCACCCCTCAGTCTCCTTTTCTCCAAGCTAAAGAGACCCAGCTCCCTCAGCCTTTCCTCATCAGGGAGATGTTCCACTCCCTTCATCATCTTTGTAGCTCTGTGCTGGACTCTTTCAAGCAGTTCCCTGTCCTTCTTGAACTGAGGGGCCCAGAACTGGACACAATATTCCAGATG